AATGACTATGATATCTTTCTCAAGTCTTTCAACAAAAATCTGCGCCACATCTTCTCCTTCTTTTTGCACAGAATAAAGTACCGGCGCCTTAGTAAAGACACTTTCATCAAAGCATTTAATGTAATACCAAAATCCCGATGGTATATGGTTTTGATATATTCTGGTGTGTGGTTTGTCTGCAACGGTTTCCACTGGTTTGGATTCTACTTTTTCGATAAAGCACTCAAAGTCTACATAAACCGAGAAAGGAACTTTCGTCGAACTGGCGTGGTTCACAAAGCTTTGGTAGGCTCCTTTACCGGCATCTTGATCTTAACTGCCTTGTGGTTTACGCAATACTCTTTATGTTCCTTCAATACCTCTTTGCTGTGGAAGTGGCATTGACACTTGTAGCAAAATTTAAGTCTACCGTTATGATCCGAGATCTGATTCGACAGTAGTCTAGACATGCTAGACATGTTTTCATGCAACACTTATGTCTTTTACCTTCACCTTCTATCAGCAACAATTGATTGTCTCTATCCCGCTTTTCAGCAAAATCTGAATATCGTAGTGTGTGTTTCTCATTGTCATCATTGATTCCATACACATTGACTGCCAAGGAAGGGTTGATTTTCTCAAACTTGCTAATATCCTTAAGGCTTACGGGGAATTCTAATCCTTTTAGGTGTAGTTCATTGTTCCATCTACAGTACTGAGTCCCCCTTTGTGTTTTCTTTTGGTCTACTTCCTCACGATGCACGGCAGCAAGTATTGCCCATTTAAAACACTTATCATCTTTGTTTTGAACATTAATCACGGCTGTCTTGTCTTTGATCCATTTTGGTAAATCTACATACTGCAAACCAGATAACTGTGTGTGTTTGTTGATGTTAAGTTGTAATTTCACGATTTCCTTCACAATGTCCACCCATTCTTCTCAGAGGTCCACTCGGCAATCTTTTTTCCGATCTTTAGGTCCATCTCTTTCAAAGTTTCAATGAGGTCGGTGGCTTCGGTTATAGTTCGATTTCCCGAATTGAAGTGTCTCTCATTCTCATCGTCCTCTTTACCTGTGGGGTTGATTTTCAAGAAAATACAGTGTAACACCACATTAGTTTATGTCCATCCTTTTCCCTTGTGTTACTTCAAGAAAGGTCTGGATGTCCATTTCTACATCCGATGTCATTTTCCAGGTAGTCAATACACCTTTTATGGGTCTAATGGGTTCATGTACCCGAATCATGGACTCTTGATCTTTCTTGATTTTCTCACTTACATTTGTCAACAGTTGATTTATAGGTAATCTACCCACACCTTTCAACCTTTTCAACGATCATGACGCTGGTTTAGGAATACCCTTAAATGTATGTTCCGTCTTTGTTTCAATCAACTCTACCAGCTCATCTTTCTTCATTCTAGAGTAGCTAGAAGACCAGCATTTTTAGCCATACTTCTTAACTGTTATACCGTTTCAACAACATTCGTATTCATTTTACTTACTATACCTATGTCTTTTATTCTTCTTTTTTTTCAATTTCAACCCCTCTCACTCCTTTTTGAAAAAAAACACATTTCTGCATAGTGGGACAGAACTCTCACTAGGGTTTAGGGTGTTTTATGAAAACTGGTTGGAACCGGTTCCTTACTTATTTTATAAATAGATTGATGACATACTTTAATTTTCCATTTTGTAGAAAAAATGATCAAAAGTGAAAGTGTGGCAGAACTCTCAGTTCTCCAGTACTTTAGTTTACCCTAAAATTTGTGTTAGGTTAAGCGGTGATTTTTGTTTCTTCTGTTTTATACATATATATTGTTTGTTGCTATATTTTGTTTCAGAACGTATTTATTGTTTCGATCGATCTTGGATATTTGTATTGACAAAACTCCACGTTTCATAATTTTCCTGAACAGGTCATCGGAAAGTATCAAGACCTTATACATAAATATTCAGTGTCTCCTTCACAAATAATACAAGATGGTCTTTGGATTGTAGGTGCTACAAATGTTTATCTTTTTATTTCATTACATTTTTCCCATAATTTTTTTTTTATGCTATAATGTTCCTTTTTGGTCCTTTTACGTCTATTCAGCAATCGGGTTTTTGGCTTTTTGCGTTCCTGGTGCAAGTTGGTGCAGAGGTGCAATTCGGACCCATAAGGTATATACAATGTTGTTTTCATTTTGTTTATCCTTGTATTTATATTTTACATAATTCGTACTTTATCAGGAAATGTATACTGTACGGCATTATGTTTTTATATCCTGCATGTACTATCAACTACAATTACTTTTATTATTGGCGTCTTTGTCAGATTTACTATTAACTACAGTAAAAAAAATAGCTGACTTATTCATAAGCTTTATATGTTTGTTTGTTTGAACATTTTAGTTAATTGTGTTGTATAAGTAAAATAGCAAAAATTCCGAACTCCAAGGAACATTTAAAACGGAAAATCCTTTATTTATTGGCAAAATCAAAAGTTCAAACCAATCAACCTTATGTGATGATTGTTTACACAAAATCCCAACTATTGTCATATTAACATATTTAGTCTGTTACGGTTGCTCCCCATTTTGGAAATATAAAGGGACTAGAAACAACTGTCATACAAGTAGGAGGTTTACCTATCAATAAAACCAGGTTAACCCACCATTTTTTCGGACATTGACTGTACCAAGTTAGTAATCCTACAGTTGTTCGCCGTTCGATGTGTTGGTTGATATAGTCGTTATATGACGTTTGATTTTGGTCATGTTTCATGAACCTACTCCGGTTTTGAATTTAACTTTAAGTTTGGTATTTATTATTTAAACATTTTGAATATGAGATCCTTGCTTTGTGAACATAGAATTAAGGTCAAGATAGAAGATGAATTTGACGTTGTAGATTTGGACCTTTGCTTTAATTTGATATTTAAACATAATAAAGCAATTGGTTCCTTTGAATTAGATTGGAAGACATATGATCTGGAAAGGTAATCTACAATACTGACCTTCTGTAAACATGATATAGCTATTTTTTGCATTAATTTTATGTAAAAACATCTAGCAACCAATTATATTTGGAATCTATATGCAGTAACCTATTATATCAAATCGGTCGTTGTAACTTCCAACCGGAAATTGTAAATAAGCTCCCTTACTTTGTGACAAAATATAGAAACCATATATTATAGAAATCAGTGTATACTTAGCTATCAATTTACACCGGAAACTGTATTCAGCAAACTAGAGGTCGCTTATTTTCGACCTTAATTCATTTATGTAGAATAAGTTAGGTATTTTTGAATTCTATGAAAGATAAGTTATCTTCTCAATGCTCTTCAACTTCGTATTTCATTTCTCTTTTTTTTAATTCTTTGGATTCGACCGTCAGTGGTGAGGCTTTTGTATAGGAAGCGCGCAAAAAACCGTCAGTGTTAATGTTCCACAATAATGCTCCTTTTTCGAAATGTTTTAAATAAAACTTATATGTACCATTACTTGCTATTGTAAATCAAACCTATGGATCATTCTGATTACATGCTTTTCATATCAGAAATTAGATAGTGTTTGGGTATAGATTAGGAAAAGTGTTAGAACTAGAAGTTTTATCTGGTGTTTCGGTGTATATTGTGTGGTCTGTTAATCTCCATCCATTCCATCAAACAACATACTGGAGCTAAATTTTATTGTAATGTTTATTGGAAGACCATTTGAATATTCTGTGTTTTTGTGTGTCGTAATGAGTATCAATTCCTTTCAGTGGTCCATTGTTTTTTAAATGATATAGAAATTCTGATGGATTTCCCAGAAATTACAGAAGTTTATTGTTGCATCATCTGTAAATTTATATTATTTTGTCTACTTTCAATAAAAATGGAAGTGAGGGTTACAGTATTTTCTGGATCTACACATTTCACGTTAGTCGGCTACGGCTTTGAGGTAATAGACTACGAGGTTAATTGATAAAAGATAACTGAAGATTAATCTCTCTCTCTCTCTCTCTCTCTCTCTCTCTCTCTCTCTCTCTCTGGTATTATCAATATGAAGAGAATCCATTTGACTCTATGGTCTCTCCCAATATCAAACAATTTACATATAACAAAATATCAAATAAAATCAACAGAAGAATTTAGGTATATATATATATTTATAATAAATAAACTGACATGTAAAATGTAAAACAATTTCTGACAATTACGCCTATCCGAGAAGGTTTCCAATATCTGCTGCCCTAAAATAAATAAAAAGATATTTGAAAATAAATATTAATGATCTTTTAAATTTGGGGATTTTTTTAAATAGAAGTTACTACTGACAAATGAACAACGAGGCGCTTAACCCTAGTCATATGCTTGTAATTCATGTGATTGCCCTTCGTTGTTTTTATATTATATTAATTTTTCGTTAATGAGGCCATAATGGTTCTCGTTTGAATTGTTTTACATGTCATTTTGGCGGCTTTTATACCTTGCTAAGCTGTATAAGTTTTGCTCATTGTTGAAAGCGGTGACCTTTAGTTGCTTATTAATATCGTCTCTTGTGGATATTTGTCTCATTGGCAATGATTCCTTTTCTGCTTATCTTTATATTAATTTTAAGGTTGAGGTCATCTTTTCAAAAGTTTAAGAAAGGCGACATGATATATTGGGTTGACCACTGTGTAATAACAGTATACTCCAAATATCCAACTAACGATCTAGTTTGTCTGTTTTGTTATTTAGGTCAATCAGTAAAAGAAGAACAACTTTTCTTCAAAGCAATTATTATCAATGGCTGATGGTGCTTCAAGCTCTTCAACTTGTACTTTATTTGGCCATTTTAACTTTTGTGATCATGCATCACTGATGATTCTTTTGTAGACGAAACGCGCCAGGCGTACACACTTTTTAAGCCTGGTATAAATGATCAACTGATTTAGATGGCGCTTGTACATTACATAACAATACTTTGAAAATAAAAGTTTTAATGATACATTTTTGCAGTGCTGAAAATCACAGTTTAAAATTCATTCGATTTCTTTGGAATAATACTTACACCATTTCACAAATGTAGGTGGTTGGTACTGTGCAAGGACCATCTGTCCAAGAATAATTGAAGCCTATAACTGGATCAACTCGCATAGCTACACAATTTTCGTTTCCTCCTCTGTTGTTTGGTTGTGTAGGTCCCCAGTTAAAGTATGTTGCCTGCTTACCATTGGCTATCCAATGAAATGTCCCTTCAGTTACAAGGTCATTTAATCCTATGTACATTCCAATGGAATCTGATTAAACAAAGGAAAATGACTTTGAGATAGATTAACATTTTTTATATTAACAAACATGGATAGTTCATATAACGAAATATCTATTCACAAACTTCCGTTGTTATCTAAGTTATGCTAAATAGTGCTTGATTCTGACAAACGGGTGAACAGCATAGCATGAAAACAGTATGAAGTTTTATTTCTGTATAAGATTTCCTTTGATTTCCAACTAATGGTATAAGTGTAAATGAGAAAGATTTCAGCATCCCATGTCGACCTTATTGTGGGAGATATAGATATGTGAGTGTGTTCGCTGTTGATTTATATCTGTTTATTTCTCCCATTGGTTGGTTTTGTGTGTGTTTTGTTTCGACTTTGACTTTATATTTTCCGAATAAAAATCTGATACATGGAAAAGCAAAAAATGTACAGAAAAATTATGCCCATAAAACATTGTGTAAAATACACAGAAATGCTCATTTCAAAATCCCAATTACCATGTAGAGCCTAACAAGCCGAAGCTTTAGATCTTACGACAACCAAGCTTTGCTGCCTAAAAACAATAGTAATGATTCCCTTAAATCATAAAAATCTTTAGCAAGAAAGAGGGACTGAAAAGTTTTGGATCATTATAGTTATAATACATGTTGCCAATTTATTCTTACTTATTTTGATCATTAAATCTGTAAGAAACTGTTGTGTTTTGGCATCATCAACGGTAGCCAAAGACGCAGATCTTCCATACTGGCGCCCAATTACTTCACAGAGCATCTGCAAAAAAATAAATGTTACTGTGGATTCATTTATTTTCGTGGGTACCAATTTTCGTGTATTAAGGAAAACTTGCATGTTCGTGGATATTTGATTTCGTGGTTTTTGACAATATCTGCATACAAGCCTATAGTAAATTTGCCATTCGTTGAATTTTTAATTTCGTGGTTAACATATAACCACGAAATCCACGAAAATTGCTATCCAACGAATAATAATGAATCCACATTATTGTAAATATTAAATAAATATAGTTTGTAAACATAGTACTATTTGAATAGATTCCCATGATGGAATTGACATGTTCATGTTTCTTTCCATATCCCTCCTAGGCATATCACAAAGTTAAAGGTTGATTATCTGTTTATAATTACCCCAATAAACAATGTAGTCAATGCTTAACCTTATTTATATTGTTTTTCTTAGCAGTTAAATATACTTGTTAGAGTTATTCCAGACACACATTTTGTGCTAAACGTTATAGCATCAGGGTTTTTTTTATATGATGGATGTTATGATTTTAAAAATCTAAGGGACCTTCATACGACCTTTATTTACCTGTCTTGTAATTTTGGGTCTCACCAATTGAAAAACAACTTCATCAAGTGCGTACAACAACAACGAATTGGGAAGACAAATACATATAATAGAACCGTTTTATAAAATCAAAACAAAACGGCTAAATTACGACATCACAGGTCACCTTGTCCTTCCGGAGAACTAAGTCTAGTAATTGATAACAAATTATAGCTTGACATGTATTTAATCGACCCGTCAGCTACTTGGCGGTTACCATCAAACTGTTTAATCTGATGAGAAAGTTATTTCAAACAAAAGAACGATTTAAACGTAGTTTATATGTTAGTATATTTCAGACCTTTTGATCATTATCTCAACTCACCAGAGAATTTCCAAACGTCTCATTGTCCCGGCTTAGAAAGAAACATTTGTCTTCATAATGATTCCATCCATTTGGACATGTGCAAAATACTGAAATAGTAATAATATTGAATTAGTATGTGTCACATCATTGAACAAAGAAGTGTAAATGTGTAAATTACAAAAATAATCTGTATAATGAAGACAAGCTAAGGCGACAGTAGTTCAAATCTCTTTTATCGAGAAGAAACAAAGGTAACCAATACAAACTAATTGAATTGCATCATCACGATAATGATTGAGGTATTAGGCGTCGACAGGGTAGGCGTCTCCTACTACAAATATACGCATGCTTCTTCCGCCATGCGAAGCAACAGTCACTCAAAATGTCATCAACGGGAATAGGACACCATCGGTACAACTACAGATTAAACAGCTATTCCGGTAGCTGAAGATCTAAGACTTTAAAAACATGTCGCTAATGAATTGAGAAAAAGACATTTTGCTAATGAGTTGAAACACATACATGTGGCAAATGAGTTGAGACACAGATAAAGCATATCAGTCGACCGATTCAAAATGGTGACTATAAAACTTATTTGATATGGATTTCAATCGTTCTTCCTCATCAGTCTGAGGGTTTAGTTTTTTGTGTAAGGAGCACACTTCTGTCAATGAAGTTCGTATCTTTGGAGCGTGCACGAGTGTAATGTATTAGCTTAGATGTGTAAAAGTCATAAGTTGGAACAGAGCATATATTACTGTTGAGAAATGAGAAGTAAACATTTTTAAATCATCATGTTTGTCATAGGTTCTACTTTAGTGTCTTCCATCGAGGAAAAAACAGGAAATGAACTATTATTTAGCTGTAATCATCAGTATTTTGTTATAAGATATACGTGATATACGTATATCTTTAAAAGCTTGAAAAGGCAGTTCATTAAATGAAATATATAATTACGCTTACCAGCTGTTCCTACAACTGCCAAAACAAGAAGTTTTATCAAAACAGGAGACATTTTATAAGATAATGTTTCAGTTTAATACTGCTTGTTGCATTTAATAAGGCGATATTTATACTAGTTTTCGTTAATTATCTCAATTTTGATAAGACTTGGTATCAAATATCGTGATTTCAATGTCAGATCGTTTTAGAATGTGAATGGCAACTGCAGACAGGTTAGAATGTGGGTGTCAAATTCGCACCAAAACCAAAGTAAACATCCCATATGAACACTAGGAACGTAAATCAGAACAGTTATCAGTAAAAGTGGAGAAAATGTTGTTATATAGAACATTTGTTAGAATATAAATTAGAACGTTTATCAGTACATGAAGAGAAATGTTGCTATATAGAACATTTGTTAGGACATAAATTAGAACATTTATCAGTTCATGTACAGAAATGTTGTCATATAGAACATGTGTTAGAATGTAAACCCATAACACTAATTAATACTTTGATGTGCACAATGCTCGTTTCCGAAACAAACTGATATGTAGATTGTTTTGGAATGTAAAAAGGGAATTAAACACTGCAATCAATATAATCTTTGGGCAGGTTGTTTTTGATTCTACACTTCCGGAGCACCTCTGTTCACCACCAGTTTTTGTTGTGGTTCGTGTGGTTCAGTATTTTGTTGGTTTATTGTTTGTCGTTTTTTTTTTTTTAATTCTTTTTTATTATTGTGCAGTCTGTTTTACTTGATACATGATTGTCGATTGTCCACTGGATTTACTCCCTTACTCTACCTAGTTTTAGTACAATATATTTTAAAAGTTTTTACAGAGATTTCTGTTGCTTTAGTTTATCATATTTATGTTTGTTTTTCTGGAAATTTTGTTCGTCTTTTCGCCGTTTTTCTTTTCGGCAATGATATTGTCTGGATTTTTTTCAACTTATCAGGAAGAGCCCGACATGAATACGGAATAATCTAGAACTGTATTACCACTAACAAGACTGTAACCATTGTTTTAGCATTATCAAAAAGTTGGATATTATCGTTCCTGTTTCCCTGATATACATCCTACATAACTGTTTATTCGTAGTAAAGTATAAGAGGGAGGCGATAGGTACCAGCGGGACAATCAAACTTATAAATTGAAAGTAAACTGAAATTGCTATGGCAAAAACGAAAAAAATGCTTATATGTTTATCTTCGAAAGAGCGTACAATGGGTGAATGTACATGTAAATAAAATCCTATGATATCCTTTGAATCACTTAAGTGTCATTATTGATGCTGTTTATACACTGTAATAACAATTGATTGCAGGTCTTCAACACTGAACTTGAGGTTCACATCTTTTATAAGTGAGGACACCACCAAACAATAACTTTTGTGATACACCTCATTTTCCTATAAAGAAAATAATACTATATATATTTTGTGAGTTCTTCTGATTTTCTTGATTTGCTTTACAAAGAACGATCAAACCCAATTATTTGAAAACCATGTATGTGAAAATACACAATTTTCCAGACGATTTTTCTTGTATATGTATAATCAGTATTACTTCATATTTAGGCTTCATAAACGTATATGTGATGGCCTGACAACGTTTTTCTCGAACACAAAAAAAGATAAGAAAGCGTCATTTTTTTTCATTTTGTTCCATGAACTACTTTGTCAAATTAAACAAAAAATATCAGAGATCGAAACATTGCAGAAAGTCAATTCTAAAACTGATTTGAGCAGAATATTTTTAAAAAAAATTTTCTTCAACTTTCTAATTGTTAAGGTTCCACTTTTTTAAAGTTTATAAGTGAAATTTTCTTATAAAGTTTATTCTCGACACGTTATATATATGATTAGGTCTTACGTTTCTTTTTCACAAATTACCATGCATAATTTCATTTGTTGTACGCTGCCTCCTTTCCACGTTGATGGCATCCTCAATAAATTTGTCACTGGACTTTTACTTGTCAAAAACAGCACGACTGGTATCCATCTGGAGCACATGAATTTAAGTGAGGTTTGTGTTATTTCATTATTTGTTGGTTGAAATATTTTTTTTCGTCATTGTTGTTTCTTCCGATGTTTTGTCCCGAAAAAAAACACTGTTCGCTTTTCATTTCGACATGTTTCAGGAAAGTACATTGTAACAATACCGCTGGTTTGAGAATATGTAATTTCTTCGAGTTTTACGCAATAAATTAACTAACCAACTATGGTACGAGCCTCAATGGTAAGTACTCTTACTTAACAGATGTTAAATTCGATAACGTGACATGTGCTACTTGTAGCACAGGATCGGCTAACCCTACCGTAGCACTTTAGTTCACCGCGGTATTTTATTCTACTCGGGTTGCTGAAACTGCAGATGTTTGTGAAGTGCACATTATTGTGGACTATTGTTGTCTTTTTGTGTGTGTGTGTGTGTGTGTTTTTTCCCACTGTGTTTTCATTCTTTGATTGTCCCTTTGGTATCATACATGTACTTTTTCTGCATTTGTTATACAGTGTATGTCATATTTGCCACTGGTTTTCAAATTGGTCTCTGGTCGATGTGTATTCGTCATGTCTCCCATTTCTTAGGTTAGTTTAAGGTTTTAAGCCCTGACAACAATAGTATGGGACATATTTTGTGGTCTGTCCAACCGTTCGACCATTCTTTTGTCCACCCCGTAAATGGTAGCAAGTAGTCGTGTTCTAATCAACTTCAAATGTTTAAAATAGATTTCTTTGCTGGATGGCAGTAATTGAAGAACATGGATGACACAGATTCCAACAGACAAATATACCTAAAAAATAAAGTCGTGATTTTTCAAAGCATCTAGCAATTGTGTTTTTTTCGGCAGCACTTTTTTGTTCTTTCGCAAGATGTTGCTTACGTGTAGATATTTGGTATATAATATCGAAGTGCTAATACACTTTTGATACTGACGCTTTATAAAACACTTTTCCTTAAAGGAATTGTCTCCCCAAAACGCACAAGATAATAAAAATAATTTTCCCAAATTTGTTGCTTGAAAATAATTTGTACCGAAGCAATTCGAAGACTCCATCTGAGGGTTATTTACCTTTAGCATTTTTATGTTTTTGATATAAGTAATATGTACTTGTAACTAGTTAACCATAAGTGATAGAGATCTAGTGTTTTTTTATTTGAGGTCTTCGGTCCAACAAATTGAAAATGAGATCAAAGGTCAAAGTCTTGTTAGAATATTTTACTTTTGCTTGTTCTTGCTAATCCCGTTATTTATATCGACAAACAAAAGGTTTTCTATGAGTTGAGACATTCCTTAATAGGTTTTTTGTACAGAGGGATAAAGTTACATTTAACAGGAGTTTTCTCCCTTGGAATGTTCAAAACTAGAAGTTTCACAATATATTTCATTTACAATACATAGTTAAGACCTAAAGTCTGTCCACCTCAACTGGTCGATTTTTCTTATTTTCATACGAGTCTGAGTTCCTTTAAACACTTGTAAAAAACAAGATCAAAGCGAGATCATTTAATTTCACAAATAGGTATATTGTTGATGTTCTTTCCATAAACAATCCAAACTTTTCGGAATGGGTCCCATTAATACATACATCCTTCTGCAAAAGAGATATAAAAAAAACCACAGAAACATCTCATCTGCCTCATTTACCTCAAATTTGACTACAGCGGTCTTCTCAGTACCAAAATCTATGACAATAGAGACGATTTCAATTTTAACATTATAAATTGTCCTCGCCTTAGCAGCAATTTACCAACTTCAAACTCGTATGGAGTATATATTTCTCAACTCATTTGATATTCAAGAACTTGCAGCTGCTACAAAGACTTTGTAAAACGTCATCGGTGTCTGAGCAAACATTAATAGTCCCAGGTTTTGTCAAAAAATGTCTCGCAGAAAGTGTCTACTTCATAAATTATACAAGAGGGTCTTGACTGTACAGCAGGTTCTAAAGAGTTTATCTTTTTATGTGTTTTACAGTTTTCCCTTTTTATGCTTATGTGTTCCTTTTTGGTTCTGTTTTGTCCATCCAGTTATCGGATTTTTGGCTTTGGACGATTCTTTTGTAGTTTTGGTCTAGAGGTGCGATTTGGACCCAGTATGTTTTTACAATGTTTTTTTTTTTCATTTTGTAAACCTTTGGATAAATACTGTACCGCATTTAATGTTTTTTTATCATAGCGTATTTGTCAGCTACAATGACTTTTTTGTTAGTTAGTTGTGTTGTATATCTGTGATAATTGCTTACACCGTTTGGCTGTTGGGTCCCGATTATTGTCATATTAACATATTGCGTCTGTTAGGTTGCATATCCAACAAAACAAAACATTTTTGTTAACATAATGGAACTAGAGACAACTGTCATAAAAGTTGGGGGTTTACCTAGCTACCTAGCTATAAACGTATAAGCAAATAAAGTGTAAGAAATAACGTTAGACCCACCAATTCGGAAAATGCCTGTACCAAGTTAGTAATATGAAAGTTGTCACAATTCGTTCTGTTGGTTGATAGTCTGACGTTTGATTTTGTCATGTTTCTTGGACTTCCCCCTTTTTGAATTTACCTTCGAGTTAGGTATTTTGTGTACATTTTTTATATGAGATAATTTCTTTGTGATCATGAAAATGAGGTCAAGGTTTAAGGTAAATTGGACGTTTTAGATTCGAACCTTTGCTATAACTTGATATTAAAACATGATAAAGACATTGGGTCCTTTGCATTAGGTTGGAAGACATATGACCTTGAAAGGTCAGCTACCAGACTGACTTTCTGTTAACAGGAAAAAGCTATTTTTTAGCATTTTTGATGTAAAAGAAATTAGCAACCATATAATTTTGGAATCAATATGAAGTTACTTATTATATCAAACCAGACGTTGTAATTTCCAACCGGAAATAGCAAATTGGCTCCCATATTTCAATCAAAATATATAGAAACCATATATTTTAAGAATCAATGTAAATTTTGCTGTCAGTCTGCACCGGAAATTGTTTTGAGTAAATTGAAAGTCGCTTATTATCTACTTTAATTCATTAAAGAAGGATAAAAGCTATGTATTTTTGATTTTTGTGAAAGATAAGCTATATCCTCAATGCTCTTCAACTTCGTTCTTTATTTGTCCTTTTTAAGTGTTTAATTCGAGCGTCACTGCTGAGTCTTTTGTATGCAAAACACGCGTCTGAAAAATTGTCAGTACCAATGTAACATAATAACACGTATTTTGCGAAATGCTATAGACAAAACTAATATAAATAAAGGCGACAGTAGTATACCGGTGTTCAAAAGTCACAAATCGATTGAGAGAAAACAAATCTGGGTTACAAACCAAAACCGAGGGAAAAACATCAATTATCAGAGGAAAACAAAGGAACACCAGGAACACCGAAGTGCAACAAAAACAAACGCCAACACACATAGAAGCGAACAATTTGATAACAACTGCTATATTCCTGACTTGGTACAGGACATTTTAAGAAAACATGGTGAGTTGAACCTGGTTTCATGGCATGCCAAACCTCAAGCTTTATAACAATGTTAAAAAATATCGCTAAAACACTACAGGACAGAGAAAAGCACAAACAAATAATATAATAGTCGACACAACATGCAAACCACAGAACAACAACGAATAATAAACCACTATTTACTATTGTAAAGCATACCTATGGATTATTCTGATTTTAGTATATGTTATAAATGACAGTTATCAGCTTGATAATTCAGACAGTGATGTTAGAATGGTGTTTAAAAAGTACAATTGTATTTCATTTTCCCGCTGTTCACTTGTCCATACATTTAACTGTACATAGTAAACATGCTTTTCATATCAGAAACTAGAGAGTGTTTGGATATGGGTAAGGGTAAGAGTTGGAACTAGAAGTTATATCTTGAGTTCCGGTGTAAATTGTGTATCTTGTTTAACTCTATTCGTTCCATCAAACAACATATTAGAACCAAAATTGATTGTTATGTTAATTGGAAGACCATTTAAATATTATGTGTTTTTGTGTGTCGTTATGAGTATAAATGCCGTTCAGTGGTCAGTTTTTATGGAAATCATTGAGATCTACAGAAGGATTTAACAGATATTATTGAAGTTTATTGTTGCACGATCTGTAAAATTAATTTAATGTTTCTACATTAAATAAAACGGAAGTAAGTGTTACAGTATAATCTGGATCTACAGATTTACACGTAAGTCGTCTATGGGCTTCAAAATAACAGAGTGCGAAACTAGTAGATAAAACGATAATAGCTCATAATAAATTCCTAAACAATCAGCTTGCCTTTGAATTTTTATTCCCAAGTAAACTAGAGATTATTCGTGTTCTTTATTCAAAATCTTGAAAATCAACAGTCGCTGATAAGCAACCGCAAACGTTGATTCTCTCTCTCTCTCTCTCTCTCTCTCTCTCTCTCTCTCTCTCTCTCTCTCTCTGGTATTATCAATATGAAGAAAATTGATGTTACACTATAAGGTCAACATCCAACAAATTACATAAAAACAAATATCAAATAAAAACAAACAGAATGATTTTGGTGTAGATATATAATAAATAAACTGACATATAACATGTAAAACAATTACTGACAATTACGGCTATCCGAGAAGGTTTCCAATATCTGCTGCCCTAAAATAAATAAATAAAAATTTGAAAAAATCAAAAGTATATAAATGTATTTCATATGTGGGGGATTTTTTAGTGATAAATAGCTGGCACATGAACAATGAGGCGTTTGAATGAAGTTAAAGGCTTGTAAATCAGTGGTTGTCTTTTGTTGTTTTTATATTGTATTCATTTTTGTTTATGAGGCCGTTAGTGTACTTGTTTGAATTTTTTTGTCATTGTAGTATCTTTTATACCTTGCTTAACTGAATGGGTTTTGCTCATTGTTGAAGGCCTTTTGGTGAAAAATAGTTGCTAATTAATTTCGTCTCTAGTGGAAAATTGCCTCATTTGCAATCATACCACTTCTGCTTATTCTCATATAAATCGTAAGATTAAAGTCGCCTTGTTTTTAAAAGTTTATGGATGCGACAACATTGGGTTGACCATTAAGCAAGTAAGTAAGTAGATTATTTATTAAAGTGACTTGTGTCAATTGACATTATGATAATATATACATATAAACCCGACCCAATGTGTCTATAAGTCACCTAAAAATTAAAGTTCATATTCGATTTGTGTCATGGATTTGATAAAAAGTCTCAATAATAGATTTATCTAACCAGAAAATAGAATAACCACTATGTCGTTACAGTAAACTCCAAATATCCCACGAATGATCCAGGTTGGGATTATGTCTTTTGTAGACGAAAAGAGCGTCTAACGTACCAAATTGTAATCCTGGTATATATGATAAATTTATTTAGATGGACAATTGTTCATTTCATAATGATAATTTAAGGACGGGTTTGTTAATCACCAAAACATATTTGCATTCTTATTGATAGGCGCTTTCTAATCGTACGATTTTACGCATTAAAAATACTGTGTATGCTACCATATTTTTGTCGGAACGAAATACCCAGACCGATCAAAACTAATAGACAGAGAGGAAATTTTGAATCTTAAAATCTACAATATATGATAATTACTCGGTAGTTAAAGCCAACATTAAAAAACAGAGGAAAACAAACAGTTAATCATTTGTTTTTAATTAAGCAGTTGTAAAAAATCCAGAAAATAAGTGTTCAGCTTATTCGATTTCTTTTGAATGGTTCTTAAACCATTTCACAGATGTAGGTTGGACCTGTACAAGATCTATCTGTCCCAAGTATAGTTGTAGCCGTTAAAAGAATCAAGTCGCATATCACAGTGTAACATGTATTGCGTTTATATTGATTCCTTTGCAATAATACTTACACCATTTCACAAATGTAGGTGGTCGGAACTGTACAAGGATCATCTGTCCAAGAATAATTGAAGCCTATAACCGGATCAACTCGCATAGCTACACAGTTTTCGTTTCCCCCTCTGTTGTTTGGCTTAGTAGGTCCCCAGTTAAAGTATGTTGCCTGCTTACCGTTGGCTACCCAGTGAAATGTCCCTTCAGTTACAAGGTCATTTAATCCTATGTACATTCCAATGGAATCTGATAAAACAAAAAAAAATGGTTGTGAATTTCTAAACAAATTCATATAAAATTAACATGCAGAATTCTATCCATCAAATATACATTTTCAATGTTGAATTGTGAAGTGTTTGTTTGTATTTATTCGGCTAATAAATGAACAGCATAATATAAAAATTATAGCAGAATTGATTGATTTCAGTCTAACCGGAATTTTCATTTCTGCATAAGTTTTCTATGAATTCTTATTTCTTATTTTTATACTTTTTACAAATTAAACTGCCATTTGTAATGGTTTTATTGCAGTTTTCTAATCGCAGTTAACTGAATATCTTGTACGATGAATCATAGAACTACTTCATAACGACTAGGTTAAAGTATTTAACTTGTTTTTAGATGCAAACAATGAGGTCAACAAACTTTTAAAAAGTAAATTCTTAACAACTAAGACTCAGTAAATCATTTTTTAAGAAAGGGAAGGACCTCAATGATAAGGAAGTAAACAAAAGCCATATTTTTATTCCGACCAAATGCAGAAAAGCTCCTATACATACGAAACTTTAATATCGAAATCATTTACTAACTTAAAGACCATAACAAAACAAAACTATAGCCACTAAGACAGCCAAGCTTAATAGTACTTTAAACAAGTCGCTTCATATTTTTTTCAGGTTCAGGTAGATAGAGGAGAAATGTTGTGTTCATCATTTATTTACAATCTAACGTTTACTCATTCTTACTTATTTTGATCATTAAATCTGTAAGAAATTGTTGCGTTTTTGCATCATCAACGGTAGCTAATGATGCCGATCTTCCATATTGGCGTCCAATCACTTCACACAGTTTCTGAGAAAAGATAGAAAAACAATACTTTCAAATTATATGACAAGTATTTATTGATCATGTTGATATTATACGATTAATTTGAATGAAATAATGGACATATTTTCTGTTATGTCCCTCGAAAACAGCTTTCACATTGAAACAAACCGATATTCTTACATTACCAAGTGCTTTGTTATGACCATGATAAAACAAACTACATTGTGTAGATGTATTTCCCCCTCCTAATAGTATGTCATTGTTCTTATTCTAAGGTTGCAGTTCCTTGTGCTTGTTATTTATGAATTCAAAATTATTGATTTCATATACAAGATCATGTGATGTTAAAAAAGTGGCAACAGTAGTTTACCGATGTTCAAATTCCATAAATTTACTAAGAAGATACAAAACAAGGTAAAAAAAAAAACAAAACAAAAAACAAAATAAACATGAGCAATTCACGGATTCACATTGACTCTAAAAGAAGCCAGACTGGATGTGTCTAACGGGTTAGCAACTTCTGCTATGCATACATCATCCATCATTGGAATCCACACTCATTCAAAATCGAGAATAGAACACATTCTCTATCAAAGTAAGACAATCGAAATCATAATTTGAAGACAAATTTATAAACATTTAATTTCGGAACCCTCACTCTGCTCTTTTCATTTTAACTCACCAGTGAATCGGCAAACGTCTCGTTGTCACGGCTTAGAAAGAAACATTTGTCTTCATAATGACTCCAACTATTTGGACATGCGCAAAATACTGAAACAAAAAAAAATTGATTCATTTGTATGTATCCTTTCATAAAAAGTATGAATGTTGAAATGTATCTAATTTTAATAAACAAATGATACACAAAGAGTAATCATGTTCAAGGTAGGCAATCAAAATCAAAAGTCAAAGAAGAATAATATAAATTACATTTTGAGTGATAAAATTTATTTCGACTTTTGATTTTATTTGCTTCATGAAGAAAAACTTTTTCATAAGGATTCCATTATTTGATATCAGAATAAAAGCACATGGTGTTCTTTGTTTCAATAAAAAGGTAAAATTTAAAAAATTCCGAACTCCAAGGCAAATTTTTAAAACGTAACGTTCCTTAACAAATGGAAATATCAAAAGCTCAAACACATCAAACGAATGGAAAACAAGTGTCATATTCCTGATTTGGTACAGGCATTTCCTTATGTAGACAATGGTGGATTAAACCAGGTTTAATAGCTAGCTAAACCTCTCACGTGTATAACAGTCGGGTACAATTTCATTATATTTACAACTATGTGTAAGCAAAACAAACAGACACAATAGGTAAAGTTTCAAAAATTGAGAAACAGCAGTCAACATTGTGTTATTAACTTAATATACATATAAAAACAAACAACTATGTCGACAATGAAAAACAAAATGACATGTAGACACTATATAGACAAAGCACATAAGTAAAAACGAAAGACAAACATACAAAAGATGACCATTGCACAATAACACAATGGCGAGATGTATAAATACCGAGCCACGACAAAAGGATATTACCAAAAATAGACTTATCAATTTGAGGCCTTTGATAGCTTGCTGTTCGGTATGATCCAAGGCTCCGTGTTGAAGGCCGTAATTTGACCTGTAAATGTTTTCTTTTTATACATTGTGACTTAGATGGAGAGCTGTCTCATTGGCACTCATACCACATTTTCTTCTTTATATGAATTCTGTATCCATTTTTTTTTACATAAGGTTAAAAATGTAAATAAACAAATAAAAAGAACACTTTAAGACGTAATTTAGATGATAAACAACGTCAGTACCTAGAATTTATCCTTCAAGACCATCATGTATTCTTTGTGAAGTTGAAACTGAATATTTATCAACAAGATCTTGGTATCTTCCAATGAACTTTTATAGAAAAGGAAAAAGGTCTTTGACATAACTGTGGTTCATCAACTTTCTGCTCAGACATTGGTGGCGTTTTATAATGTCTGAGGTGGCAGTCCTTTAAGTTTATTATTATTCACAAAGTTACTGATATGAATATTTAAAAAAAAAAAATTGGAAAAGCTTGATTTCACTCTTAATCATGTTAATGCAATGAATAATTTGATGACATCTAGTGTTTATGCACTAAATGCTGCTACATTTATCGAGTCTATGCATTGTTAATTGTTTTTTTTTTTTTTGGACTTTTAGTAATTTGGAATTAGGTTTGTCTATGTTATAAATCAAATATGTTAATTTGAAGTTGTGTAAAATTGTTGAGCATAAATTTGACAGCTACATATACCCTAAGCCTAACATTAACCCTAACGCTAATACTAATGTCCTTTGATTAAAACTAAATGAAGAAGCATTTAATTATGAATTACAGATTTAATCTTGAAGAGTAAGTTCATTAAATGATAATTAAAAAGTGACTTACCAACTGTGGCTACAAATGCCAGAATACAAAGTTTCATCAGAACAGAAGACATTTTGATATATGAGGCAGCAGTTTAAACATTGCATGTTGCATTTCTGGAGGCGATATTTATATTCGTAAATTATCTCAAATTTGATAAGTTCGTGATGTCAATGAAACTGCAGACAGATTGAAATGGGTGTGTAAAATTCGGACCAGAAACAAAGTCAAGGTCTCCAGAAATATTAATGATAAATGTAGAACTTTTATAAGAGTGGTATTCATAAAGACCATTTTTATCAAAAGTTCAAATTTAGAACAAGATTATTTAGA